ACCACCTGGATGATGTCATCTGTTTACCATTACCAGACAACCTATTAACTTTAGGATCCTTGGACCTTGGGTTGCCTGATAACTTTTAATACCTACGTGATATCAAATGTATGCCTGAGCATAACGCAAATCTGTAGAAGGAACCACTTGATGACGTCATCTGATTGCCATTACCTGGCAACCTTTAACAATAGCAATGAACATTTTGTCAACGATATCGAAAACGTCGCCGAAATTTGTTTTGGGGGAGTCGCGATTAAATCTCTATCGCACTCTAAGTTTTGGAAAAATAATAACTCCTCTTGACCACCCTGTATAGTAGCAGTGTAAACAGGAAAATTTTAGCTTGACCTTTGCCGCCATATTGAATCTTGCCATTTGCGGTTTGGATCAAGGTTGTTTCAAAGGAGGAGGTTGCCTGCAAGGTTGTTTGAAAGAGGTAGGTTGCCTAATAACCTCTATGACATCATCTGCGGGATGCCTGAACATAATGCAAATCTTCATTTGGTCCTCCTTATGACGTCATTTGTTTAGCATTACCAGACGACCTATCAACTTTAGGAGCCTTGGGTTGGGTTGCCTGATAACTTTTACGACGTGACGTCATTTGTATGCCTAAACATTTGTTCTAAGGGGAGTCTCGATTGAATCTCAATCGCGCCATCTTTCTCTCTCTCACTCGCACTGTTGATTGTTTCACTCTCTCGCTTGGCGCTGAACTCGACTCGAGCCAACTGTATCCGATCGAATCGTTAACAGTTCGAGCGTGACCAAGTTAATACCTAGATTGTCTGGTAACTTAATGACGTCATCTGGGGTGCCTTTACGGAGACCTGTATTATGATGAGTCACCTCAGATGACGTCATAAAAGTTAACAGACAGTGTTGCGAGATCGTGCAAAATTATCCCAACTTGAGAGATTTATAGTTTATTGTGAAACAAGTGTTGAAAAGAGTACTTTCCACACCCGTTACACTCTACATTTTTTCCTATGACTGCGAAATAAATAAATTCACATTGCATTGAGATTACTAGAAAAATAAAGCATATCTAACTATTTATTAAAGGAAAAAGTTACGTCGGCTGAATGCATAGCCTTGATTCATGTGGGAGTTATGGGAAAATGTCAAAATTGAATGTATCATGTGTTATATTTATTTATTTAAATTTTATAAATAAATAAACATCATTGATTGTTTTCAAACAATTTGCATTTTCTGAGTGTAGATTTTATAGATTTAATATAAAAGTGGAATTAAAAATGTGTAAAAAGTCTTTTCTAGTACCTGGGGTAAGTTGAGTATGATTTTCTTAGCTGGGGTAAGTTAAGTTTGATTTTCTATAGAGCCTAATTTTAATTATGTTATTATTTATTCCACACAGGCCTTATGAGGATAGGCTATCCTGTAGTATATAATAGTATCATCGTTCATTGTGATTCAGTCACGTTATTCGACAATTTTATTATCACAAGCGGCGCACGCGGCACAAGTAAACTGAGAAAGGTCCATTGTCAATGCTTTCAAATTTTTTATAAAGAAAAGGCTTGTGTTGCCAACATAGTTACTAAATTTTTGACTTGGGAAATTATCTTTAAAAAAAACAGAATTTAAAATGTGTGCATTTCTTGGACATTAAAATACCTGTATCTCGAAAGCTAGTCATAGGATCAAGTTGTGGCTATGAACACTTTTAATCAGAATGTTGAGAGAAGTATCATATTAAATTTTCCGAAAAATTGACCGAATTCCAAAATCCCATAAGAAGTGTGCGGGGTCCTTTGAACTTTTTCTGTTTATTCAGACTTACCGATAATAACGACGAATTTCCTCTATTGTCGTATACGTCAATTCGTCGTATTTTAGGTATAATGTTAGAATGTTAAAATGTATAAATTTGCACTTTTTCTGTTTAATCAGAGATTACCAAGCTTACCGATAATAACCCGGTTAGTTTGTGTTAGTTTGCAATTTCAATCTGACCCAAACTAACCGGGTTATTATCGGTAAGTTTGATAATGTCGTTACAGGACGGACTCTCGGTATTTTTTCAGTAGCAAGTCTGACAGAAGAAGTCAAAAAGTATACCATATTGTACGATCAAAAAAACTAGAATATTCGTAAAGTTCGGTCTCATCGTCCATTAGATAAGGAAGCAACTTGCGGAATTCGCCTTCATCTTATCTTGTTTTCCAAGCGTTGTAGCAGCGATCAACATGCAAACTAACACAATTTGAGATAAATAAATTTATACAAAGACCAAAATATCTCTCTCCATGCACTTGTAATGTACCTCAAATACTTAATAAGACACAAATCAACTTTGCGATAACATCTTGAGCAATATCCAAGTGTATACCTATTCCAGACAGAAGGAAAACTTCAGCAAGTTCGGGCCACATACGAAAAATCTTTCGAAATTGAGAAGATAAATGGATCACCTTGGACTATAAGAAACTTTGCAAGGAAATCAGCAGAAACCTCTCAAGAAATCATAACACTAGGATGATCAAAAATAGAATCGAAGACAACAAAATATGGAAGTTTTAAGTTCCAAACTATGAAATGGAAGGACAAAAGTGACCAAAATAAGAAACAAAGAAGGTAACCGAAACGATAATAACAGACGTTTGGAAGAGAAGCTGTCGATGGGGAAACGCGGACTCGGACTATTTTCTTGTTAGAGCAAAGCTGATAATCAAAATATCAAGTTCAAAAAGTCTACAATCCAAACAAGATCAACAGTAGGATACAGCAAAACTGGAAAACGGAGAAATCAGAAGACGTTTACAGGTGGAAATAGAGCACCGGAGCCAAAAAATTACAAAGACAGATGTTGGAAAGTACTATACGAAGCAATAATAGGGGCAACAAGAGTCACTGTGGCCACTGTGGGACTGGTGAAGCCAAGTACCACTGGTACGATCCGGAATGTGAGACGGTACTTGAGGAGAGAAACAGTGTAAGACTAGTGTAATGATGCAGAATCCTACTGAAGACAATAACAGTAAATTCGGACAACCAAGTGAAGAGGCTAAGATTAGGAGTTGCAGAAGCTGGAAGTCGATGGAAGGAACAATACCAGGAAATTCTATGAGACAATGAGAACGAGAAAGAATGGCTTCAGACCTAGAACCAATAACATCATCAAGGACGACAACGGAGATCTAGTAACCAGGCAAAATCAAATGCTGCAGGCATAGAAAGAGTACCTACCTACTTTGAACAACTACTAATCCAGGGTTATACAAAAAGCCGGCCAGCTTCTAAGCTGCGGAAATGTCAGAAGAATACCTTTCTCGAATGGAATTTGAGAACGCTATGAAAAAGTCGGGAAACAATAGGCCGGCATAGACACACGTTATTTGTTATTTCGCGAGGCTCATCGTGTCATCTGCAAAAACCTGTGAAAAATCATGTGCGTGAGTGAGGAGGACTGCACGCAATGATAAAATGGGAAGGGATTTCAGACGAGCTTTCATCTGGAATGTGGCGTCAGTACTCAAGTACATGATAGTAGAATTCACACCCGTGTGCACACGCCATTCCACCTCACGATTTTGAGGCTAGTACCCAAGAAATAAGCGCCGCGAAGCAAACTATCACGTTGAAAAAAATTAGTACATGACAACATGCACTTCCAAACGACACGATAAATGACACTTTTGGTTCACACACATACGATTTTTCCTTTGAAACTGATATGCCACGCGTAATCACGTGCTAAATCATTTGAATACTTTGTCAAGTGTATGGAACATGACGATTTTTTTACCATGCCGTTCTTTCGCGCATGCTAACCGTCACATCCTAACATAGCATGATAAACCGCGCGAAATAACGTGTGTGTATGCCGGCTTAATAATTCTCCGAGTGAAGACACGATAACCGCCGAACTCTTGAAATCTGCCAGAAATACAACCATATCCCAACTATAAGAACTATCTGGGAAAACGAGAAGATGCCAGCCAGAAGAAAGCATAATAATCCTGTCGAGAATAAACCAGAGGAGATAATTAGGAGATTATTAGGCGGCTTTCTGACAAACTGATCTACCACCGACCAAGCTAGGAATTCAATAGGCAGATACACAAACTGTTTATAGACCAACAGACCTATGATAGTGTGAAAAGGGTTGAGATCTGGGAGACAATGGTAGAATTTGGGATACCTCATAAGGGTAAATGTGGGATTAAAGCAGGGTGACGCGCTGTTCCCGACTCTTTCCAATATTGCCTTGGAAAAGGTCGTAAGGGACTCCAAACTTAAAACAGAGCTATTTTGTTCCATGGAATAATTCGTTACTTATACTTGCTTATGCGGACGATATTGAAGTGGTGGAAACTAGCGTAGTGAATAGCAAAGAAACGTTTGTTGAAATGGAGCACGAGGTATCTTAAATGGGTATATAAGGATCAACGAAGACAATACTGAATATGCATATCTCTGGGACAGGCAGAGGGAGAGTGGTAAAAAAATGACAATGAATGGGTACAACTTTGAAAACGTCAAGCAGGTTCGATCCTGGGTTCGATTATCGTAGCCGATAATGACATCGGCGAGGAAATAAAGTACCGACTTAAAACCGCAAACATCTCCTTTTATACCCTTCAGAACATATTTGGATCCAAAGAAGTTACTAGAAGATCCAAAAGACTGATGAATTTCTAATGACAAACATTTCAAAGTATTATAATATGAAGAAAAGCTTGATTAGGTACATCGAAATTTCTTCAAGTATATTGGACCATGCAAAATATTGCAGATTTTCACCATTCGCCTTTCAAGTTGGGCATTTTTGTATTGATAGCAGAATGACAAAAAAGTGCGAAATTATAGAACGATACCTATCCAAAAAAATCCAAATAAAAAAACATTTTGAAATAATATATTAAGTTGCATCGTTTAATAATAATAATAATAATTAATAATAATAAAAATAAATAAAGTTCTTTTATTATTATTATTATTATTATTATTAATAAGATGGCTAAATTATTTTAAAGTTTCCGTTGTTTCCTGGGTCTAGGAGGTGACCAAGACACTGGAGTACTATCAGTAATCGAGACAACATCCAATCCGGCCATTTGCAAACCTTTAATAGCAGAAGTCCGTCCTGGACCGAGTCCCCGCACTCTAACTCTAACAGATCTTACTCCATTCTCCAAAGTTCTCGTACCAAATGTTATCGCTGTACTTTGAGCCGCCACGTTGGTACCTTTACGAGCATTACGAAATCCTTCTATCCCACAGGATCTTATTAGTTTTACAACTCCATTGGATTCTGTGTAGGTTAGGATTGTGTTATTTTGGGACACTCTGATGTTTATTATTGGTAGGTTTTTGTATTGGATGCCATTGAAGAGCTTGTTCATTGTATCACTAATGGGAAACTGTTTTTGATTATGGATTAGGGAGTCAATTGTATTGTTTGTTTCGCCATATGTGCCTTCGTCAGTGGTGGGGAGGGATTTTAGCATTTTTTTCCTATCAACGACAACTCGGGAATAGGTTGGACTTGTGGATATGCTTCTTGTTTTCAATGAGATGATTATTGCATTTTGGATGAGTTTGGATAACATTTTATTGGGCGAGGAACAGCAAAAAAACTTTTTAAATTGGATTTTTCGATGACACTTGACACTTTCTGCCAACCTAACCAGTTTGGACTTGTCATTTGGTGTGCTTATGGTGATTGGTGCTTATTCACCAAAAACCAACAGAAAATAGTTGAGATTATTGAAGAAGATGGAACATTGGCAACTATACACAAAATGGAATTTATAAATTCCTAATAGCGGAAAAAAATTCTTACCCTAACTCTTGCTTCGGTCAAATTCGTCCACATGGCAATCTCTTCTCTCGTGCTCATATCAGGATAACGATTTCTAGCGAAAGTAGCTTCGAGCTCTTGCAACTGTTGACTCGTAAAGTGCGTCCTTTGCCTTCTTTGACGTTTCGACTTTTTGTCGTTTTTTCCATCTTCAGGCTCGTTGGATTCGGCCACGCCCGCTTCCGTTTTGATTGTATCCGACAACGTTCTACTGCCTACAATAATAAAATATTTGTAGAATTTCCAAATAAATAAAAGCCTAAAATAAATTAAATGTGAATTTAATCCACGTTTATGAGACACTACTGTGGTTTAAATAAATTTTGATGTTCGAGACGTGGCCCGAAGTATTTGTTTTACACTGTTGTTTTACGAGCGATGCCGTCCGATTTTAAACTGGAACTGTCATATTGGGCCAAATTTATTTCGACTGTTAGATGGCCTAGTAATCTTGAGCGGATTAAATTTATTGGATTATTTGCAATTTGGTGCCAGAACTAATCACTATTTATGATAGTGCGTTTTATTAGTTAATGGTGTTTGTAATAAACTAAACTAGAATTTGGATTATCTTATAGTTGATTAGTTAGTAAAAATAGTTCTTATATATTGAATTTAAAAGTGCAGGTCGGTACATTGTATACAGCAAGAATCGTAATCCGTCAGCGCTCACCTAAATAAACTTAAAAATTGAGTGCTGAGCTTTTTAAAACATAGGGAGAAAAATATCCGCGAGCTGGCTGCTGTAATAAAGCTGCCGAGCCCCCGTCTAAAGCTGCTTGTTTGAGAAACTGATTAAAAATTCAGCCGCTAAGCCTCGGAAAGTGCCGGTAAAGCTGATCGGAAGATTTTGCAATTATTTTTCCGTCTTTTCCGCAGAAACGATATTGCACGTATTATACGACTTTTTTTTCCGGTTCCCCGAGGCTTCATTGTATGGATTTCGATTATTCTAATTCTGTTTTAACGAATTTTTTATGTTTGATCGAAATGTTTTAGAAGAAAATTGTTTCCACTTTATCTTGGTAGTTGCAATAACCATTTTTCTAGAAATACTTTGAACCATGCATGAACCGTCATCGTTTCTTGAATGAATGAATGAATTGGAGGTATTGTTACACTGTAACCTGCATAGATCTATTGTGTCCCCCTTGGGATTCTTACTCGAAGCAACTCATTCAGCTTTTATGAAAGCAAGTAGGCTGGATGGTTCTATTCTGTTCCCGTCCAACTGTGCAGGATCCGAAGCAGGCCATTCGTATATTCAGGATCGCACATGACGCACACTTTCTGTTCTGGAGTTTTTTCTCCTTCCTCACATTTGATTTTAATTGAATTACGCAAGGTACCTTCTTAACCGGCAGTGGCCTGTAAGTAATCCAGTGAGAATGCCAAGATTGTTTCTACTCACATCTTTGATTGCCCTGGAAATTGTTTCCAGAGTATGGTACATTTGGTCCGCTCTTCCTTTCTGAACGCTTCCGTTTCTCAAAATTATATGTTTGGATCATATCATCCCTAGGAAGCTCGAGGAGCGGAATAAGCTTGGTTAAAGATGCCAATTCTTTCCTTCCAGGATGTGAATCTCGATAGCTGCTGTGGGAGAAGTTTTCATTGAAGCACTACAGTAGTTTTTGATGGGTTTATTTCCAGTCCCACTGTTTGGCACTATTCCTCTGTTGCTTTAAGTCCAGCCTGTAAGAGTTCACAATGGTGTGCAAGCCTAGGTTGTTCAGTTGTTCAGTATTCCTAGTAGATTCATCCAGCACTAAGTTCTACATCAGGAGTGAGCATACTCCGCCTTGGCGAGTACCTCGAATGGTGTTCACCTCAATAGACTCAGTGTCTACTGCTTTCCTCGTAGCCAGCATCTCCCACATCGTTGACTCCCCTTCTCATTGGTGCTCTCTGAATGGCCACATGAGATGTTTTGTCAAAGACACCCAGCGATGTCTAGAAAGCCGCATAATGCTACGTTTTTCTCGTCTGGAGTATCGTGCTCGTCAGTTAGAACAGAGCTGTCTCAGTGAACCTGCCTGCTCTATCAGCGTGCTGACTTGCGTCTAAAGGCCACCTTTTCAAGGTAGCGGATCTTATATAGTTATCTAATGCCTTCTCCATCGTCCTAAGAGGGAAGGAGGCCTATTTTTCTGAAGGATTTGGGGTATTATATATATTTAGTTGTTGTTGTTGTTGATGTAGTGGGGCTAGGTGGCATGTGGCATGCAATGTTACCTGTTTGTAATTAGTTATAACATCAAGCTAATACATGGTGTCAGGTTAACTTGTTGAACCGAAAGTCTAGAAACATGGAAAGCATCTTTAGACCACCACAACCTTTGGAACTTGATGGGAATATCGCCGAGAATTGAAAGAAATTCAGTCAAAAGATTGATAATTTCATGATTGCCGCTGGATGACAAAAAGCTTACTGTATTTTTGAACCTCATAAGGGATGATGCTTTGGACCTTTATAATACATTTGATTTCGGAACCGAGGTAAAAACACTTAAACTAGTAAAGAAAAAGTTTGATGAATACTGTTTACCAGAAAAAAAATGTTACTTTTGAAAGATTTGTATTTAATAGCATAGTGCAAAAAGAGGCCCAGTCATTCGACACATGATTAGGGACAGGATTGTCATGGGAATTAACAATAGAATAACACAGGAAAAACTGTTAAGAGAAAGTCAGTTAACCTTGCAAAAAGCTGTAGAGATTTGCAGAGCAATAGAAATAAGTAAGAATCGATCCAAAATCTTACAAAACGAAGCATCAGTTAGCGAAGTTAAAACTTGTAAAAACAAGTTAGAGAATAAACAAAAGTGTCGCTTTTGTGGATATTTGCATGTACCTCGTAGTTGTCGGCAGTGGCGGCTCGTGGTATAACATATTGGGGGTGCACATAATTTGTAATTCATAATAAATGCCGGTTGCGTTTGTTTTGCTGGCGCATTTGGCCACTAATTTTTTAAATTAATACTTTACAGGTAGATTGTTAAAATTTGAAGAATGATAAAATTAAATTTAAAGTTGTTTGATATTAATTTGGGAGTGCACGTGCACATGTGCTCTTATGGAGGAACCGCCACTGGTTGTCGGGCTTGGGGAAAGACATGTGCAAAGTGTGAAGGACGAAATCACTTTGCAAGTGTTTGTTTCCAGAAAAATAGCGGTAAAAAGGAAAAAGATGATCAAAGTGGAGCGTTGAGAAGAAGAAAAGAAAACAAAGTAAAGAAAAAAGTGCATGAAGTGGCAAAGTTGAAGAAAGAATATCAGGAAGGTGGCAGTAAGTCCGAGATTAGTGAAAACGAGTTTTACGTGAGTTCAGTAGATATTAAAAATAATCATCAGCATGAAAACAATCGTGACAGTCGAGAAACAATGTGGATGAAAGAGATCAATGTTAATGGTAAGCCAGTTATGTTCAAGCTTGACACAGGAGCTGAGTGCTTACCCCATTAGAACTACTCCAGATAGAAAAATTTGTAAGACAAACATCTCATTAATTTCATAGGGAAACTGCAAATTTAGGATTAAGGGTTTGGGTGAGGCACAACTTTATTGTTCAGTCAAAGATATTGAAAAAAAAAGTGTCATTTGTAGTGGTAGATGCTCAAAAACAGATTCCATTGTTGGGATCACAAGATTGCCTAAGTTTAAACTTGATAAAAAGAGTAGATTTAATTGCTGTTAAATGTTTAAAACCTTAGACGATGTTGTCAAGAAATATTCACATTTTTTGGAGAGTTTAGAATAATTTCCAACTAAACATCACATAACATTGAATGAAAATGCTAGACCTCATGTGAGTAGTATTAGACGTGTTACACAAATTCTGTATGAGCTCTTAAAAATTAAATTATGTGATCTTAAGCTGAAAGGAATTATACTTGTGATTGTAGAGAAACCTAATGGGGACCTAAGATTATGTGTAGATCCAGAAGAATTAAATCTGGCCATCAAACGTGAACATTTTTTAATTCTACCTGTTGATGAAATAGCTGGGAAGTTAAGTGGAAAAAAATATTTCACTGTGCTTGACATGAAAGATGGGTATTGGTAAATCGAGTTGGACAAAGAAAACTCATTTAATGACATTTCGTCGCCCTAGTTGTGAATGGTCGTAATCCACTTAAGGTAAGTTGTGAGTAAACTGCATTTAAAATTTTTGGTGAAAACATTCTTTTTAATTAGCAAATATACTATAACAAGGTCAAATATTGATCAGTGGCTTAGATCTATTCATCAACATGAAATTTAAACATTTTCAAGTATGTTAACCGAGAGGTTAACAGTCACAACTCAAGAATGAACATTTTGTGGATTACGACCATTCACAACTAGGGCGACGATTTGGGACCCCATTTGGCAGATATTGATTTACTAGATTGGCGTTTGGTATATGTTTGGTTCCTGAAGTGTTTCAAAAGAAAAATTTTGAAGTTTTTGACGACCTTCAGGGGTTGGCTTATATTTTGATGACCTTATAGTCACAGGGTCAACTAAGGCCGAGCATGACCAAAACCTAAAGATAGTCTTACAAAGAGCAATCAAATATAACATTAAGTTCAACAAAAGTAAAGTACAATATAAACAAAAAAGTCTTAAATTCATGGGACAGATATTTTTAGAGCATGGAGTGCAAACAAACAAAAAATATATAGAGGCAATTATTGATATGCCAAATCCTCAATCCAAGGCTGAAGTTTTGCGTTTGTTAGGCGTGGTTAAATTTGTAGAAAAATGTATTCCTAACTTCTCTAAAATAACTGCCCCATTGCGTAATCTTACCAGACTTGACGTAGAATGGTATTGGACAGAAGAACATCAAAACTTAGTAAATAATGTAAAACATTTATCAACTAACTCGCCTGTTTTGACCTATTTTGACCCAAAAAAAAACCTATTGAAATTGAGGTACCTCAGGGTAGTATACCAGGGCCTTTGTTGTTTGTCTTATACTAATGATATATCAATGATATCGTTAATGTATGTTAATGTTCATCTGTTTGCAGGTGACACTCTAGAATACTCAATATCCAAAAGTGTGAATGAATTGGTTGCTTACAATGCTCTGGATAATTTGTACAATTATATGTGTGTGAATAAGTTGAAGATAAATGCATCAAAAACAAAATCTATAATTATTGTACCGGAAAAAATAAGAAGGGCTTTTGGTAAAGAAAAATATAATATACAGATTGATGGATATCCTATTGAGATTGTGAGAAAAATTAAATAGGTACCTATTTGGAAGTAATAATTGACGATTAGTTGACATTTGTGGAGCATGCTAATTCAATTATAAGCAAAATGAGCAGTTACTTGTCAAAAGTTATTATATACATATAACACACTCGTACTACCACATATTAATTACTGTGCAAGTGTCAGGCCTTCCATCATTTGTCACAGAAATTTCTCTGCTTCAAGATAAAGACTGTACTTTTCTCTCATTGCTGGAATTTTCTATGCAGCGGATGAAAAAAAAAGGTGTCTACCAAAATTTTACTGCTACCACTTTTGCTGTTAGCTCAGCATTCTTTTACTTGATTAATATTTAATTCTTCCATATGACACATCATCATTCCTGAAAATTCCTTATTTGGAAATCTTATCGCTATAAATTCATGGCCGTTATCGCCCTCTCGTCCTTATCAGTATACATTAGCGTGGCTACCACAATAATTACGAACACATCCAAAATGCGTTTGCCCAATAAAATTACATCGTTCAAGTATCTGTCGATGTTCAGAATAATATCACTGGTCCACTGTATAACAGGTGAAGATGTCGGCAAAAAGCCAAATAGATTCGCTGTCACGAGAAATGATTGATTTGGGCGGGTTTCAATTCAAAAAAGGTGGCTTATCATACGATAAGCAATAGAGTACTTTGTTTAGAGAGATAAATTTTATAAATTAGAATAAATTGAAATATTATAAGCCAATAAAAATATGTGGTATTCACAACCAAAACAAACAAGCTAATCATTATTTAGCAAACTTTCCAGAATCTCTTTAATAAAACAGACGACAAGATACGTCAACATTCCAAGAGTTTTTTTTTTAAACCTGATGGCAACATCTCGTCCCATAACAACACTTTCAGTTCCCAATTAATTTTAGTCTGACTAAACCATTTTAATCCTGGATGTCAGACTAATTACTTAAGGCGGCACCGAAATAGCGCTCCTCTTTGCTGACTGGGATTAACTTAATAACATCCGAAATCTTTCCAACAGTTGAAGTTGGATAGTACTTTCACTTGAATTGAACTGGATATATATGGTGCACTAAGACAGTTTGTTTATGTGTATCATGAATTATGATGTTTGAAAATAGGTTTTGGTGTCTTACCTTTTCTGTCTCTGGTTCGACTCCTGACGGCTGCAGGAAACGGTAATTGCGGGTGATCCATAGACGGTGTCGAGCTAGAAGGTGTCATCGATCCAGTTGAATGGGCGTCACGAAAATCTCCGGTTTCGGCCCAAACTGTTGACAAAATTTAAGAGTTGCTCGGTGTCTACACAGATTTTTTATATTTATATGTGTATTGTATATTCCTATTAACTATGCGTCTAAGGGCGGGTATAATAAAACAATTTTGACAGAATAACTAAAAGTTAACTTCTGGGATAACGTCACTTCTACTAGTTTTCTTGAGTATAAGGTATGTTGTGAAAAATAGTACCTACTCAAGTAACTTACAAACTGGATCATCAAACCAAAAATAAAACTGAAAAAATCTTTGGCAAAATTCCTTTTGATTGTATTTTATTTGTTTGTGTACAAACCGGTTGCGGTTGTTCGGCTCCGACTTAATGCTTTTATAAATATGGCTTAAAGTTAAGCTAAAATAATCAGACGCTGAGCCTCAAAATCCTTTATATCCTACTGATTTAAACTCTGTGAGTAACGAACCAGGCAGCATGGCGCGGCGCGAATCCATTGCGAAATAAGTAATGAACTTTTCGGATCAATGTGATAGTTTTTATTGGAAAAAGTTTCATAATTTTTGTTTGAGGTGATTGAAATTAATTAATATTGTGATTAGGTATTAAAAAGGTAATTTTTCTACAAACGTCACTAAAAGTGTCATTTTTAACCAATGCTGTCAGAGTCTGAAATGCCATTTTATGACACTGGTGTTAAAAGTGACTACTTTTAGCACTGAGTGCTAAAAGTAGTGCGTTTGTAGAAAAAATAGTGTATGACATTCGTACTAAAAGTGATTTTATTTTGTTCAAAGGGATGGAATACTCCGCCTCCGGCGTCGTGTCCCAAACTTACCTTTTGACAAAATAAAATGTCACTTTTAGCACTTATATCATAAATAACTATCATGGTATCAAGTAGTTCGTAGTTAAGATGATGTGGGTTGGTTCCAAAACTTCCAAACTTGCCAAAAAATTGAAATTTTGAAGCCCGTTTCTCAATCTTCGCTGATGCATTCAACTGATTGAATATTGTGAACACTTGAGTACATTTTAAAGTTTTACTTGAAACTCTATATGGAGTGGTAGAAATCACCATAAAACATGGATTTGCAGCCGGCAAGAAAAAGCATGACGTTCTCCCAATTCAGTTTTCTCGGTTTCAGAAGTTTGACTTCCATAAAGAGAAATTACCCCGTGTACTGCATAAAAAAAACTTTGATGACTAATGATAACTAAAGGTACGTGCACAACGGAGCCGTGATAGAAACTTGTAGCCTGGATGACAGATCATAGCTGAAATTAAGCGCTTATGGGTGTGCACAAGGAGCTGTGATACTTACCTGGATTTATAGCCTTTAGGGCCGGTTTCCCAATAACGAGTCACCTCCGAATTGGTTTTAACTCCAGGGTAAGCGTGTCCAGTTGCTATGTTTACCCCGGAGTTATCCTTAACCCGGAGGTGACTCGCTAATAAGAAACCGACCCTTAAACAATTTCATCGCATTTTCTGATCGCGATGTCGGACAGGGATAACGATTATTTATGTTCTTACGCTATGAAATGGTATGTTCTGCGGGACTTATGGCCATTTGCACGGCTATCACTTAACTATCACTTAAGGGATATTTAATGTAAGTGGAGCTTTGAATGTGACTTTTGTTTCTACAAGAGTCACATTCAAAGCTTCACTTGGATTAAATATCCCTTAAGTTATAGCGGTGCAAATGGCCATACTCACCCAATTAATCAAAAACAGTTAGAAATGGGAGATTATCACCACGTATCGGGACTTAAAGGTAAAACCTGATGCTGATGATCGTTTTCATGAATATTTGAGAATGAAACCATCTACTTTCCAATACCACAGAATAACAAACAACGTTTGTTATCCTGTCAATTATCGATGATAAGCTTCAATCTATCATCCAAGTTATAAGTACGTATCACAGCTCCGTTGTGCACGTACCCTAAAGAAGCAAATCTTCTTTTCCCTGCCAAATACACGAGATGATTGAATTTATCACTTCTGTGTATTCTACCGAATTCCTAAATAGCTCTGTTACCAGATCAGGAAATTACTTACTACATACTTACTAAATATGAGCAAAAATTGTTTTTCCAACTCACAAGTTACGTGCATGAATTCAAAATAAATTTCCGTTTTATAGCAAATTTGAAAACACCAGCATTATCTTTGGTAAGATAAGAACCAATCTTAAACAGTAATATATTTTCATTTAGCAGACAAAGAAAAATGCCGCTGACATTTTCTATCATGATCGATTGGGACGAGAGTATTTGATGTCTACCGATGGTTACGGGCTCCATTATTTGTACATTTATTTAGATATTTGAAAAAAAAAAAAATTATTGCGTGGAAACGGTACTTGTGTTTAAGGATGCCAAAAATCTTAGCAGCCTGGATATTAAAAGCGCCTATTGGCAAGTACCGGTTGAAGAAGCCTCGAAACCCTTGACTACTTTCATCTGTTATCGAGGACTGTTTCAGTTTTGCCGTATGCCATTCGGACTTCATAATGCCCCAGGAACTTGGCAACGACTAATAGATCGAATCCTAGCGAATATTCTCGCATACGAAATTTGATACGATTTCGAATGCTCCCCATTTAATTTACATTGCTGTCAGTTAAATTTCGTGTACGAAATGTACTCGAATGAATTTGAAAATCGCACCCGCCCCATCAGTATCGGTTTATTTGGATGATGTGGTGATAGTTTCACAAACATTTACAGACCATTTAAAATCTTAGAGGAGGTATTCAAACGACTAGGAGAAACTGGTATAACAGTCAGCTGGGAAAAATGTCAGTTCTGCCGGCCGGAGATGAAATATTTGGGATTTGTGGTCGACAGACGTAGACCCTGATAAGGTAAGTACTATGCTGGAATTACCCAGACCAAAGAGTGTTACCGAAGTTCGTAGAGTTGTCGGAAGCTTCTCGTGATATCGACGGTTTGTTCCGGAGTTCTCCTCTATAATATCTCCAATAACGGCCCTCACTAAGAAGAAACATAAATTTGATGGGACTCCCGAATGTGAAACAGCTTTTGAGAAAATTAAGGAATTATAAGTTGTTCCGACTATACAAAAGACTTTATTATACAAACGGATGCCTATGGGTATGGGATTGGGGTGCTCATACAACCACATGAAGATGGCCGAAGAGTAATTAGCTATTTGAGCCGGTCATTGACTAAAAAAGAGAGACTTTATACGACAACGGAAAGGAAATGCTGGCATTGGTGTGGACAATTCATAAGCTTCGTCCTTACATTGAAGGGGTACCATTTAAGGTGATAACTGACCATTTTAGTTTGCATCAGCTCTTAAATTTGAAGGATCCAATTGGTCGCTTGGGCCGTTGGGCAATCAAGCTTCAAATGTACAATTTTAAGGTACAGCATCGTAGAGGTGTGGACATGGCCCGGACATGTTATCTCGTACCGTTTCAGTAATAGATAGTGTGGAACCTAAGCCGAAATGCTGTTAAAGATCTATGGTACCTGAAAATGATTAGCAACATTGAGAAGAGTCCGTTACAGTTTTTAAAATGGCGTTGTAAAAATGGTATTCTATTCAAATATATTAAACAAGATTTCCCTGACCTCCATTCGACTGAGGATTCCTGGAAAAGAGTGATGCCAAAAGAGGAACGACAAGTTATTATTGGGCAAGCACATGATCTCACAACCTCAGGTTGGGCGTATACAAGACTCATGCGAGGTTACTTGAAAAGTATTATTGGCCAAAGATGAGGTTAGTGAAGTGTTCTGCATGCCTGGCTTATAAAAATGATCCTCGGAAAGCCAGGGATCATATGGCTTCGCATCCAAAACCATTCAAGTCTTGGGAGATGATTTCCACGGATATCATGGGACCATTGCCCAGATCTACAAAGGGCCTATATCTTAGTTGTCACGGACTATTTCAGCAAGTTTTCCTTGGTATTTCCACTCCGGAAGGCTACTTCAGCAACCATTATCAGGAAGAGGAGGTGTTTTTAGTTTTTGGCGTCCAACGTGGGGCCTCTTTTGTTTTAAGTGTTTGGGCGATTCTTGTGTTCTGCTATAGGCCTTTTTTTGTTATCTGATAGAGGATTTCTGTGCTCCACTTACTTTGATTTTCCATTTGTGTTGACTATAGTTAGGAAATAGTAGTTTTCCTAATCAGTGCGCAAAGTTATGTTTTCCCGCACGCAAAAGCAGTTAGACGAACGACGTGTAGCGGAGTTCAGATAAGCTTTAAGTGCGGGAAAACTACTTTGCGCACGTGTTAGGCACAATATTTTTTCTACGAGTGAAATAACTATACTTCTTTTTAAAATTTTTAATTTTTATAGGCATCAAAAACAACAACTTGTTATAACTAACTAGGTATATCTAAATCGGACAAAAAAAAAATTCGGCCCCCTCTCCGCGGGACTTTGCCCCCTAAAAAAGGGGGCCCTACGGGGCTGGGCCCCCAAATATAGGGCTCTTGCGGGTGCTTCGCCCCCTAAAAAAGGGCCCCCCGCTGGGCTAGGCTCACCAATGAGGGGACTCCCGCGGGGCTTCGCCCCCCCAAATATGGGGCCCCCGGATTTTATTATGGGTACCAGAAGAATACATAGTGTGCGGGAATTTTTTTTTCCTGCACACTTTTGGGAAAGGGTTTCTTTGCGTACGCAAAAGTGTGCGCAAAGTAGTTACTTACTCGTAGAAAATAGTTATTTATGCAACAAGTGTGTAAAGTGAACCTTTTTTCACGAATGTGAATTTTGACAAGGCGAGTGCGACAATCACATGAGTGAAAAAAGGTGCTTTACGCACGTATTGCATACAACATTTTTTCTACTACCAATCAAATATGTGTAAAAAAATTAATTTAGACAAATTCTTCACGCACTAGTGCGTAAAGTATTTTCACTTTACGCACTAGTGCGTGAAGTAATTTACCAGAAAAATAGTAATTTGACAAGTCGACATCTGTCATTGACATTACTTTACGCACTAGTGTGTGAATATATTTTTTTTATTATTGCTAGTTGGTGTAGA